GCATCCAGTCTGGACCAGGTGACTTATCTACCTTGAGCACTGTCAACCTTTCTAGTACCTCCTCTCTCTTTATTCTTATCCTATCCAATTTCGCTATCCTCTCCTCCGATACTGTGGCATTGACTGCATCCTCTTCTTTTGTGAAGACAGTTGCAAAGTACTCAGTCAGTATGTCAGTCATGCCCTCTGCCTCTATAAGAAGATTTCCTCTTTGGTCCCTAATTCGCCCCTACCTTTGACTAACCTTTTATTCTGTATATGCTTATAAAATACCTTAGGTTCCCTTTTATGTTACCCACTAATCTTTTCTCATACAAATTCTTTGCCCCTTTTATTTGCTTTTTCAGTTCTCCTGTGTACTTTCTAGATTCTATTTGATTATCTTCTGTATTTTGCACTTGACATTTATCATAAGCCTCCTTTTTCTGTTTTATTTTAATTCCAATTTCCTTAGTCATCCAGGGAGGTTTGGATGCCCTACCTTTCCCCTTTGTGGGTATGTATTTGTTCTGTCCCCGAACTTTCTCCTCTTGAAGGCTTCCCATTGCTTGTTAGGTGTTTTACCTGCCAATCTTTCTTTCCAGTCCACCTAACTCACTGAAATTAGCCCTCTTCCAGTTGAGAATCTTCATCTTTGATTGTTCCTTGAACCGTTTCATAAGTGCTATAAAGCTAATGTTGTGATGTTGTGATCACTATTGTCCAGATGCTCTCCTACTGAAACCTGCTCCATTTGCCCCACTTCATTCCCCAGAACTAGATCCAGCGCTGCTTCCTTCCTCGTTGGGCTGGAAACATACTGATCCAGAAAGTTATCCTGCACGCACTTCAGGAATCCTTCCCCCTCCTGGCCTTTTACACTGTTATTTTGCCAGTCTATGTTTGAAGTCCCCCATTATCACTACTCTATTGGTTTTGCATCTTTCTGAAGATAAACACACAGGAAAGAAGAGAGAGGGAGACGCAGGCAGTAAGAGAAATGTAGAGTGGAGGGAGAGACCCACAAAGCAGGGAGTGAGAGAGAGACCCACAAACACAGGGAAGAGGGAGGGAAATTAATATATGCCACATAATACATATTCTGTATGTAAAAAGAGACATACAATAAGAGATAGATAAAATGCAGGAAGCAGGGTAGAAATGTAGAGGAAGCAAGAAGCGTAAAGAGAGGGAGACAGCAAAAAGAAGTTGCATTTTTATAGCGGAGAGACAGATAGATAGAGAGAGAGCACCTTTACCTTCCCCTGAATTTGACAAACTTCACACAGATGAGATCTTTCAGAAATACAATGCCTTTGCTTACTTTGATGTGCATAGGTATAAATTTGTCACATCCCAATGCAATCATGGTTTTAAATAATAATAAACCTTGCATTTGATATAGCGCCTTAGCATGCTTCGAGACGTCTCAAAGTGCTTCACAACATTTGCTGTAAAGTGAATGACTATACTTTATGGGTTAAACGTGATAGCCAATTGCGCGCGGCAGTGTCCCACAAACAGTCGAGGATTGAGTGACCAAATTATTTTTATTTATTTGAAGGAATTATTACTCCTGGAAAAGCGATCCGCCAATCGATTAACAATTGGATTCCTACTTACTGCTAGGTAAACAGGAGTGTGGAGTAAGGAAACTTGCCCAATGTTTTGCCTTGACAGGAATCAAACCCAGTTCCTCTCGCTGCAAACTACAGGACTCCAGGGGTGGTGGTGGGGGAGAGAGAGTTCCTTGGTTGACTTATTAGCACTTTGAATTTCTCCTCTTATAGGTGCGATCTTTGACTAGGGTCTCTTTGACATTATCTTACCAATAAATTATGTCTGTTGCACCTTTATGATAATGATAATCCTTGCATTTGATACAGTGCTTATCACATTGTTGAGATGTCTCAAAGCGCTTTACAGAATATACTGTAAAATGAATTGACCGTATTTTTTGTGGGTGAAATGTCTGAATTAAATGACCTTGACTTTGGCCTTAAATGGCCTACTCTAAAAATTATGAGGTAGCAAGAAAAAAAAGTGATAATTCAGAGCTTCTGCCAACAAAGGTGACCTTACCCAGCAAGGTAGCGCTTCTTGATCTATGAGCAATTAGCCTCCGAGTACAAGTAAAGGAAGAGCTTTGGTCAGGTTCTAACTGTTTGGTTTGAGACAATAGAGTAATTTATCATACATTGTGTCCCACTCATTCTCACAAAGCTCCATGGCCATTCATTTTCCATCCCAATCTGCAGTAGTTGTATTTCTTACCTGCAAAGAGCTCCAATGTTAGATTTGTTCTGCTCGTGGAGCCCTACGCTCAAGCGCATGCAATCGCCAAAACCAAAGTACCTGCTTCTGAAGGCAACAATTCACAACTGCAATCCAATTCACTGGGATGTTGACTTTTAATTTGATCAAAGTTTTTTTAAGGATATTAGTTTCCCTGTTTATAGTAGTCCTTTGTTTTTGTCTGCTTGATGCCAATATTCTATTCTATCAGGGCAGGAGTGGGCCTGGCTGGCTGTGAATTGGGCTCATTGTTTAAGACTGCTTTGGATAATAGTTTTAACATTGTGGTGATTAATACAGAGCTGCTTTGCATAGAAGTCATGCAAATTTCCATTGCTGCCTTCCTTATAGTCCAACTATAAATTTTGTGTTGTTTCACCAGCAGAACGGATAAGTTTTATGTTGCATTTGAGCTGCTAACATTAAACATGCTTAATGGCTATTCTCATGTTCCTACCAGATCTCATTGAGGATTGATTATATCTTATAATAAACTCTGTGTGTTTTTCCCAAGTGTGCTCTACAATCAACTGTATTTCAAATAGTGCCACTGAATCTTCAGCATTCACTTGGTTTAACATCTCATCTGTGAAGGATTACATCTCTAACAATGCAGCATGCTTCCAGTATTGCATTGGAGTGTCAGTCCAGACTATATTATAATAATAATCCTTGCATTTGATATAGCACCTTATCATGTCTTCAAGACGTCTCAAAGCGCTTCACAGAATATACTGTAAAGTGAATTGACTGTATATTTTATGGGCAAAATATATGACCTAGATAATGAGACTATATAAGTTCAAAGTCCCAGTGTGTGGCTTGAACACACAATGTTCTGAATCAGAGTTAAGAGTGCTATCAAGCCAGGCCGAACCTAAACTGTATTGACAACAACAAAATTACATTTGTATTGCGCCTTTCACATCGGGAGGACATCCCAACGCGCTGGACAGTCAGTGTTTCTGACCCGAGCTGGGGGTCGGGATTGGGGAGGGTGGAGGGAAGCAGGGTAATCGAAAGCACGGTCGAAGAGGAGGGTCTTGAGATGTGTCTTGAAGGAGGCTAGGGAGGGGGCGAGGTGGTGGGACTGTGGGATGGAGTTTCAGAGGGTGGGGACAGAGTGGCAGAAGTCCCGCCCGCTAATGGTGGGATGGGCAAGGCGGGGGACGTGAAGCAGGCTGGAGCTCGCTGAGTGGAGGGAGCGGGCAGGATGGTAGGGGGTTAGGAGGTCGCAGAGGTAGGGGGGGTGCAAGGCCATGGAGCGCTTTGAAGGTGATGACCAGGATCTTGAACTGTATCCTCTGGGTGATGGGAAGCCAGTGGAGTCGGGCAAGGATGGGGGTGATAGGGTCATGGAGCCTGGTGCGGGAGAGGATATGGGCTGCAGAGTTCTGGATGATCTGCAGCCTGTCGAGGGAGGAGTTGGGGAGGCTGGCAAGCAAGGAGTTTGCATAGTCAAGCCACGATGTTGTGAATGCGTGTATGAGGGTTTTGGCCGCCTGCAGTGTGAGACAGTGGCGGAGCCGGGCGATGTTGCGGATGTGGGGGAAGGCAGAGCGGGTCTTGGCACGGATTGGGGTAGAAAGAATAGTTGAGGGTCAAACAAGTTGCCAAGGTTCCGGACTGGCTCAGTGAGGTGGAGTGTGCAACCGTGGATGGTGATGTCTTCAGTGCCTGAGGTGTGGAGGTGCTGACAGAGCCAATCAGGAGGGCCTCAGTTTTGTTGACATTCAACTGTAGAAAGTTAGCTCTCATCCAGAACTTGATGTCTGACAGACATTCTGTCAGGACAGCAGTGGTTCTGGAGTCAAGGGTGGAGGCAGAGAGGTACAGTTGGGTTCATCCGCATACATGTGGAAGTTGACCCCATGTCTGTGGATGATGTCACCAAGAGGGAGCATATAGATGTTGAAGAAGAGGGAACCAAGGACAGAGCCCTGAGGAATGTTGCACGAGACAGTGCGAGGGCTAGAGGAGAAACCGTTTGTGGAGATGAAGTGGAGGCCGTGGAGGTGTGAGAGGTATGGTCTGAACCAGTCAAGGACAGCGAAGGTTTAGGTGAGACGAGAGGAGGTGGATGAGGATAGAGTGGTCAACAGTGTCAAAAGCAGCAGAGAGGTCAAGGATGACGAGGAGGCAGAGGGAGCCCTGGTCGCAGATGGACAGAATGTCATTTGTCACTTTGACCCAGGCTGTTTCTGTGCTGTGGAAACCCGATTGGAGGGGTTTGTGAAGGCAGTGGCGGGAGAGGAAGGAGCGAAGCTGAGAAGCAACAACTCGTTCCAGAACCTTGGAGAGGATATGCTTACATATCTGCTAACATCTACAATTAGGAGTCCTGTAGCTCAGTGGTTGGAGCACTCGTCTCGCAAGCGAGAGACCTGGGTTCGATTCCCAGCAGGGCGAAATGTTAGGCAACTTTTCTTATTCCAAAGGCCTCTACTTACCTAGCAGTAAGTAAGAACCCGGTCATTAGTCGATTGGCGGATCGCTTTTCTATAGACTATTAGGCTGCCTTAGAAAACTACATTGCAATTTCTGAGAAAATATGTAGTCAATTCATTTTACAGTATATTCTGTGCAGTGCTTTGAGATGTCTCGAAGACATGATAAGGCGTTGTATCAAACCCAGGGATTATTATTAGAATTTTAAGTATGTCCTATAGGAAATGGATCTGCTGACTAGAGAAGGTAATATGATTCTCATATGGCTTTGATTTCAGGTTTCCGTCCAATGCTTACAGAAGGACAGAGTGGGTACAGCTTGTTCAGCGTGAAAACTTTATACCTGGCAAGCATACCTTTCTGTGTTCCAGACATTTTGAATCAACATGCTTTGATCGGACAGGACAAACCAGGCGCTTGCGAGAGGATGCTGTCCCTACGATATTTGACTTTCCACCTCATCTTCAAGATAAAGTAAGTATTTGAACCATCATTACTGTCCTTAGTAACAAAATCATGAGACAACAATCCAAAACATCATGAAGTAATAATAAAATTAGATGAGATTTTAGGGTTGCCAATTCTTTTTCATATCTCAAACACATCTCCAACCCCTCACCTTCCACCTCTTTGCTACTCAAACTTCACCCTGCTTCTGCATGTCCCTCGACTTCTCTGTCTTACAATCAGTAGCTGGAATCTCAACCACCATACACTTACATTCATGAAATCCATACCAATATCTCCTTCTGTCTCCCTGTTTTAGATATCCTCCTAAATCTATCTCTTTGACTATGTTTTTGAAAGCACTACCTGGCAAGCTTTTGATCATTTTCTCACAGCTTTTCGCCCACAAATATACGGTCAATTCACTTTACAGTCTATTCTGTGAAGCGCTTTGAGATGTCGAGAAGACGTGAAAAGCCCTATATCAAATGCAAGGATTATTATTATTATTACCTCTTGCCACTTTGCTTTGTGACCTAAACTGTCTCTGGAAAAAAAGCTCTATGAACTAGGCTCTACATGAAAGGCATTAACTATATTTGCAAGTTGTTTTCAGTGCAGTATTAAGATTTTTTATTCAATAACATTTTTTATAAATATAAACTATCTTCTAAATTTGGTTTGTGTTTGGGAACAGCAGAAGGGCTTTGAGAGGCAAACCAGTTACCTGGAGCATGAATATTTTTCACTCAGAAATAATTTTTCCAGTAATAAAAGCTACATAATAACTTGCATTTATATAATGTCCTTCACACAGCAAAGTATTTTGGAGTGTTGAGCACACAGCTCCTGTTAACTCTGAAAGTCAAAGCCCCAACAAGAAGGGTGTTCCAGCTGGACAAGCAACAGGAAGTGTGCCAGATAGGGTTTTCGATGGCAAGCTGTCCACTTTAAGCTGGTTAAACTCCAGCAGCTCCGAGATGCTATCCCACATGAGGGGCACCGTATCAATGCAAGTTCTTATTGTAGCAGTATACCAAGCCTTGGCTCTTGCCAACCTGCACCTAATGCTGTCAGAATTAGGTAAGCAGCTTGCGTCTCTTGGGGAGAGAGGGCATTCAATTTGAGACATGGAAATTCTATTTGTAGATGGCATGTGTAGAATCCAGTCTGAGTTGGACATGGATAAGCATGGTAATGGGTTTTCACATGTGTCACACAGCTGGCTGACTAAAAAAAAGATACAGGGTGGTGTTAGGAAAGAGAAAGAGAACACAAGTAGGCTACATGTGCAGCAAAGAGAGAACCCATGAGAGTGAGCCATTTTTATTTTGGATGGGTTAAGCTGCGGTTGTGTTATTACCAGGCACTTGCAGCCTGACCTTCTATAGAATTCCTCAGGTTTGATGGGACTGGTTTGTCCTCGCATGTCTCTTACAACTTGTTCACAAACAAGGCAAGTGTTAAACTAAATCCTGGAATAATATTTTTTTGTTCACAAATTTCTCTGAAAGAATCAGATATGCTATACTATCATTTATTTCCAAAACATCCAAATCTATCCTATTTGCTTTGAGGATTGCCCCATGTCCCAGTTTTGCATTCCATTAATAAATTAAACTAATAATCCATGAAATAAAATTGTTGATTCAATGTTATAGCTGCTTTATCACATTAAAGCACATTGCTTTATAACATTGAAAGTTTTCAAAGTGAGTCACAGATAACTGCTGTCAAATTTGATGGTTGTGTTTTTGTAAGCAGCCAAATTATCTGGAGGATTGTTAGCAAGAAGACTGCAAACATATTGATTTGGATAGAGAAGGCTCTATGGCCCGTTTGATCTCGTCTTTCCAGAATACTGGCCCTGATAGTCTGTCCCATCACAGCATCAATTTTTTTAAATAAGTCCCATCTTCCTTGCCTCAACCACTCAGATCCTGGCAACCTGTTCCAGTCATTAATTACCCTCTGGGTAAAGATATACCTCCTGATGTCTGTTCTGAAATTACCCTTTGAAACAAAACCTGTGGCATCTTGTTACAGTATAATACAATTTACATTTATCTAGCACCTTTCAAGCCTGGGGTCATCCCAAACCACATTAACAGTACTCGATGGCCACCCGAGCTGAGGGTAGGGCAGGGAAAGTTGACAAAAGCACGGTCAAAGAGAGTTTTGAAACGTCTCTTGAAACAAAGAAGGAAGGGATTGAATCGGAGGGACTCCGGGATGGAGTTTCAGAGAGCGGGGACAAAATGGCTGAAAGCCCAACTGCTGATGATGGGATGCAAGCGTTCAATAGTAAGTCTTGGAACTATTGTATAGGAATGTCCAGGACCAGAAAAAAAAAATCAAAACCGTAAAAAAAAATCATACAGTCTCAAGCTCCCAGACAATTCGGTGAAGAACTTTGAAATTTCCTCTATATGTAAATATTAAATGTAAGTGTATATTATATAAAATGTAAAATTGTTGTTGTCGTATGGGGTTACGCTGACTCAGGTTTTGAGATAATAAAAGTTGACCAAAAGCGCACTATTGAGTTGTGCCTTGAAAAGGGGAGGAAGGGAGTGCATCAGAGGGACTCTGGGATGGAGTTTCAGAGAGTGGAGGCAGAATGGCTGAAAGACAAATTGCTGATAATGGGGCGGAAACTATGTTTCAATAACATTTCTGGTATGTTGACACACTGTAACTCTCGTTTCTTTAGAAATTGCCTACCAGGAAATCTGAGCAGATCCCTGAGGGTGACTGCAGCCAAGAGGGCCCATCCAAGGCTGTCACCGAGTCGAGCTTCAGCAGCAAAGACGTGTTCTTAGAGCACAGCTACTGTCTAGATAATCCCATTGCGGCCAAAAGAAAAATTTTCCAGTTACAAGATGAGGTGGAAGTCCTCAGGAAAAAAATCAAAATTAGCAAACAGAGAGAACGACGAGTAGCCAAGAAATGGAGCTGGGTGAACAATCTTCTGGAAAACCTAAAGGAGAAATATCCTGTGCCTGATATCAAGGTTGAAGAGCCTATGTAACCTACACTGAGTGCCAAATCACATAAAGAAAAATAAGCTACAGCTACTGAAAGACTTATCAGTGAAGACGGTGAAGTGGCAAGAGATTTTTCCTAACAGTACTGTTCCCTTCTCTTCAGCTCAAAGCACAGGAATTCTGTATTTTCAATCATCTATCCCCTCTTCTCCCCACTTTGAAGAACGTGGGTAGTTGATGTGGGAGAATGTATGTAGGGCCACTGCTCTTTGCATTTTGCTCTTCAAGATAAAGGGTTAGCAATGATGCATATTGCATCTATATATTTTAAATGTAACTCTGTTCTTCACAACCTTGAATTGGGTAGATGGTTTACGTCAGTCATTATCTTGGAGTTAATGGAGGGCCAGCATTATTTGCGTTCACCTCTTCCAGATAAAAGGTTTGGAATGATGCATGTTTGCATCTGCAGACTTTAAATGCAACTCTCTCTCCATAACTTTTCAATGTGTAGATGGTTGAAACAGTGGTTGCCTTGGAATCATGGAGTGCCATACTATTTGTGTTCAGCACTTCAAGAAAACAAAATTAGCAATGATACATGTTTCGTTTGTAGACTTTACATTTAACTAGTGATGGTTCTGTTCCAGAGATATTGGTGTTTTTTTTCAATTTTCTACACTGGATGTCCAATTAAAAATGGGCAATGGATACATTCCAAGTCATGGCTTGAAGAGTGATGCATTTCCTTTCTCCATGCAAACCATCTGTACCAGCTGTTGACACTACTAGATTTATCCAAATTTTGCATTGTGGACAAACAGCTATCAAGAAAGGGTTACATTACTCCATTCCGCACCAGATTATCACAGCTAAGAAAGACATATGTGCCTCCAGTATCGAAATTGTACAGTAATCATTCCTGAGCAATAAAATCTTTGCAGTTGTCAGCAAATTTTGTTGTACTGGAGCCATTGCTGTTAGCTGAACAAAAGAAGCAGCCATAGCAGATAATCATCTTCTTGTGTTCTACCTCTAATGGTAGAGTATTGCTACAATAACTTGCACTTGCATAGCATAGTTTTGCATGTTTCAAAATGCTTTACAGACGTGATGTGGGAGCCTAAACATAGTGTGAGACACTGGGTGTGGGAGTAGTTGGAGGGAGATACTGGAGGGGGGTTATTGGAGCGCACTTTTTTTCGTACGGTTTTGAAAGCAGAGAAAAAGGGTGCAAGGCTTCAGGGAGAGAATTCCAGAAAGCGGGGACAAGTTACCTGAAGGCTCATTCACCGGTAGTGGGAGTGAGGGGCAAAGGAATTAGCCAGAGGTAACAGAACAGAGGACGTGAGTGGAAGAATAAATCCACAAGAAGTTACAGTGGAGCTTGGAGATATTTGAAGCTTATAATGAGGATCTTAAAGTTAATCGCAGAGAGATAGAGAGCCTAGAAAAGATGAGGAAGATTGACTTGCATTGCTTCATACAGGAAAGAATATGCTACGGAATTTGGAATGATCTGTAGCTTTTGGTGGGTTGAGTTGGGAACGGCGCAAGGAGGCCTTTGGAGAAGTCTAGTTTGGAAGCGACAAGGGTGTTGACTATGGTTTCAACTGTGTTGGGGATGAAAGAGGGAGGTCAACAGTGTTGAGAAGATGGAGGAAAGCAGCTTGATTATTACTAGCTGGTTATTTTAAATGTTGCAAAAATAAAGCAATGATACAGCAATTGTTTTTTACTTCAGGAAAACATGATGAATGTATTTTTACTTACCAATAGAGCGTGAGTGATCAACAAACTGGAGAGAATATTTCTGATAGGAGCACAAGATGATGTACGGACATTAAATTCTAATGATGTTTCTATCTACGCATTAACACGCTATTCCTCTTTCAAGTGGTACCATTCCATTGCATTGGAGGGAGGTTGACAGGTAGAAAATACTCCTGATACATTTGTGTGATATATGTGATATCTTCTTGGTGGTGTGGGGGAAGGTTGCATGTCATCTTGGAGCTGAGTTGGCTTCTATGTAACTTGCTTGTCAATGGAATTGAATCAGCCGTGTGTGCTGGTCTGTACTCTGGTTCCTGAGTCAAGTGAGTCTACAGTACTCCAAGACACCACTAATAACAGACAAGCCAATGTGCCTCATCGGAAGAAACTTGAAGAGATGGTCCAGTCACTGGGAGCAGGGATTCTTTCCACTCAGCTCAAGTTAACCATGGGTAGGGTGATTCTGGCTGGACATGCAGTGGGAGGCTTGCCAGATATTACTCACAATGCAAGCCATACATTTTTAGTTGGATAAACTCCAGCAGTACTCCCAACACACACTCTGGGGTCCTTAGCTCTTTCTAGCCTGTGTCTAATACTGTCTGGAATTAGATAAGAAGGGTGCATCCCTCTAGGGAGAGAGTACACATTCAATCCAGACACAGAAATTTCCATGTGGAAATGGTTTGGGTACTCTTAAGCATGGTGATGGGATTCCACATGCTTCAGGCTCCAGACTAAGCCCCATAAAGATATTGAGTGCTCTTAGAGTAGATTATGTTACGTGTTGGATTGTGGAACGGATATTAATCATCAAAATTGATACCAATGTATTTTCATTATCTTTCAGGGTAGTACTCAGACATTCAGGAACGTTTACAGAAGAAATCTGCAGTTCAAGGGAAACCCAACCTCTGGAGAATGATGACTGACTTTACCTCCATTTCCAGCACCTGATAATTGTGACATGTTCATGTTTCGGAAAAAAATAACTGATTTCCCAAAAGTTATGTGACCTAAATGAACTTTAGGTCACTGAGGAATATTGTCACGGTTACCCTGTTTTTGCAATCCTTAGTAATGAGTAAAATTATATGTATTATTTAAGGGAAATGGGGAGACCTGTCCCTTTAATTAAGAATCTGTTTGAGAAACTGCTTGCAAAAGATTTGGTTCCAGAAGCTGTGTGCAAAAGACTTAGCAATCAGCATAAGTTGCTAAGTTACTTACAGCATAAGAGCCCAAGTTCCAACAATATCTCGGCTCAAAACTGTTTAATTGACAGGCAGTTAACAAGCAGCCTGGAAAGTCACGTGAACACTCGCGCGGGAAAAAGCCACTTACATTCACATCATGGTGAGGTGGAGCCACATGTCTATAAAAGGCAATGCTCGTCGTTCATCGTCACGAGCTAATGGTCGTCATCTGGTACATACTGACATCAAAGGACTATTGTACTGTCAGTTAGTTGAAGCCTCTTTACTAATGTAGTACTGTGCTGCTAGTTATATAGTTATGTGTGTTAGTTATATTTGATCCCATTGTTGTTTATCTTAAATTGTTGTATTCCTTACATGCAAGATATTCTGCTGAATGTATCCTCGAACCTCCGTAATATTCTAAAATAAGAAAAGCAGTAAGCACTTAGAGAGTAGCTGTTGACATCGGAGTTCTGGTAGTGCTAGCATACTCGAATTAGATATTCCAGTTATCAGGCTGTTAAATTGGAATACTAGTCTGAGTGTCTAATTCTGATTTGGTTGAGCCTTTGAGCAGTGACTCACACTGACAGGGAGGGTTAGAAAGTGTGAAGTCACTTAATACAAAAATTTTACTAAAATTCGCAAGTACAAGGAGTGAGAACCATCGCACTTGGCGACAACGTGGGGCTCGAGGACATTGACGTAGAACTTCAGAATTTATTTCTACTGGAGTATAAGAATAAGATAATGGTAGATGCAGCAAGCGACCGGGACAAATTACTAACATGCAACATTCGATGAAGCATACAGGGCGAACCCACTGAGAAACACTCGGGGAATGGCTATATGAATGAGGAGTAGCTACTACACACTCAGTAACTGAAGAGAATCGGGGTCATTAGCGTGAGAAAACGTAATGAGTCTGACCCAGGAATAGAATATTTGGAATATGGAGATTGGGATAGGCCTCCGAACTGAAGGAATTGAAATGTTAGGATTGGCCCAAAGAAGTAATTCTGACTACAGTAACAGAAGTAGAGAGGGAGTGAATGCTTTGTTGCAGCTGAGAGAGCTCATAAGGTTAACCGACCCAAATAAGAAAATCAAATTAAAACTGACCTCTACCCGAGTGAGCAGTACAGACAAAACTATACCTGACTCTTTACAGCCCATTATTGTGGTTCGAGAACGGGGATCACCGGCTAGCTCAGAGACAAGAAGATCCTATGTGGAGGGTCCTTGGCGCACTGTGTGGGATATCAATAGAGAAAAAGTTTAGAGTTTGTATGAGGTACCGAGAGTACCAGCAGTGAAAGAGTGTGCGGGGATAGTTGTAGAGACCACATGGGAGGAGGCCACAAAGCAAAATTGGGAGGGATACCTCACAAAAGTACTCACTCAGTTCAAAGCCAGGGAAAAAGGGACCAGCGGAACATCTGATAATTGGTTCTGCTCCACAATTAAGAGCAGACCTGTTTCTGTATTTAAATAATGGTGCAGACTATCTCCTAAAGGCAGAAATGGGAGCAGCAATCTTCTCCTTGGCATCGGGGCTAACAGCAAGAATACATTTAACTCAGAAATATAGAGAAAGTGCAAAAAATGCAACACAGGTTTTTGAGCCACAGAAAACAAATGCTTTCAGAAAAATATGAAAATAAAGTAACTGAAATAAATATAGCTTTGCAAGAAATGCAGGCTGAGGTGCTGAGTTTGTCTAATCAACTTCTGCCAGTAGAAGAAATTATAGTCCAATTAAGGTTAGACGAGGCAGGGCAGCTGTACCAAATAACAGAATTAAAGAGAAGAGCCTCCCAAACGAGAGACTGGGAGTTTTGATGGGCGCGAATTGCATGCGGGAAAGCACCCATGTGGCAAATGATAATGGCGTACAGCTGGGGAATCACTCACACACAGAAAGTGTGCTAAGGCTTAAATCCTTGACAGGGACTTTGCCTGAATTCAAAGTAGTTGAAAGCTGGTTGGATTCAGTGATATCAATAGAAAAGTTGGTAGTTTTACAGAGTAAAACTGCCGTGCAGATTCATTTGCAATCAGTAGTTAACAAACGCTGAAGGCACCTGATCAACCCCGAGTGGGATAGTTTGGTCATGGCACTTAGCGAAATTAAGCGGACAGTTGTACGAGAAAGAGGGCTTCCAGAGAAAATAGACCAGGTTCTAGCACCCACCTGAGTGCCAGTGTCCCAAATCACCAAACTTTTCAAAAGAGTTCTGGGGAAAGATGTTTCTAATGGCACTGGCACCAGATAGAAAAAGTTGTGTTCTTCTGATGTTAATCCACTCTAACCAGGGCACTGGGATGTAATAATTAAGAGGGAGGAAGAGTGTGCCAGAGTTTCGGAGTGTAGTGGCTGAAAGCGCGACCTCCGATGGTGGGGCGGAGGGCGTGAGGGACAGGCAGCAGACCATTACCAGTCGAGTGGAGGCACCAGGAGGTGGATAGAGGAGTTAGGAGGTCGGAGAGGTAGGGAGGTGCCAGTTAGTGAAGGGATTTGAACACAAGTGTGAGGATCTTGAAGTTGATTCGTTCGGTGATAGGGAACCAGTGGAGCCTGGCCAGAACTGGTGAGACCTGGGAACAGAGCTTGGTCCAGGTCAATGTGGGCAGCAGAGTTCTGACTGAGCTGGATCTTTTGAATAGTGGAATTGGGGAGACCGGCGAGGTGTTTGAGTAATCCAGGGTGGACATGACAAGCGCATACACGAGGGTTTCAGCTGCATTTGGGGTAAGGTATGGTTGGAGCCGGGCAATGTGGCGGAGGTGGAAGAAGACAGTCCTGCTCAGGTACCAGATGTGGGGAAGGAAGGACAGCTGGATTGTGCACTAGTTTGGTGAGTGAGGGAGAGCCCAGGGAGTTCAAATCTGCAGGAGTGAAGATGTTGATGGGAGCCAAGAAATATGGCTTCCATTTTGTCCACATTCAGCTGCAGGAAGTTTGCACTTATCCAGGCCTTGATGTCTGCCAGACAAGCTGATAGAACATCGGGGGACCTGGAGTTGGTACTGGAGGAGGCAAAGTAGATTTATGTATCATCCGCATACATGTGGAAGTTTACCCCGTGTCTGCGATAACATCACACAGAGGGAGCGTATAGATGAGGAAAAGCAGAGGGCCAAGGATGGAGCCCTGGGGTACTCTGCAGGTGACCGGGCGGGGGTGGGAGGAGAAACCATTTGCCGAGATGAAACGGAGGCGGTTGGTTAAGCAGGACTCGAACCATTTGATTGCGGTCCTACTAAGGTGGATGAGGGAGGAGAGGCGGTGGAGGAGGATGGTGTGGTCAACTGTGTCGATCGCGGCAGAGATCCACGAGGATGAAGAGGCCAAGGGTACCCTGGTCACAGATAGAGAGGATGTCGTTTGTGACTTTGAACAAGTGCTGTTTCTGTGGGCAGGGCCAAAACCAGACTGCAGGGGCTTGGGGAGGGAGTGGAGGGAGGGTGTGACCAAAGTTGACCTCCAACAATGCGTTCCAGGACTTTGGCAAAGCAGAGAATTCTCAAATCCCTATGGGTACATGATAGGACAGTGGCAATCTTCCGGTGAGCGTGAGCTTTGCCAGTCGTCCCCGCATTCCTGTTATTATATGTGGAAAAATTAATAATGCTTTAGTAAACACGTGGGCGCAGGTAACAGTACTCAGTAAGAATATAGCAAGAGAGGAGCCTGAACGGAAAGGGTGTGCTGGTAGAGGGGGTATGAGGTGAGTTAATACAAATGTACGATCAAATGGCTGAGATTACAGATGTAGAGCAATCTGAAGTAATTGCAATGAAAATAGTTGTTCATCCTGAAGAGGATGAATGGAAAATGTGATACTGGAATGCGACTTTCTTAGAGAGTCGGATCGCCATAAAGTAATAGCAGTATGCATGTGGATGTAAACCCGGCTGAACAGAAGCAGTATATCCACACATAGTTAGACATAGATGAGCTTTGTAGAGTTTTACAGGTTTGCAGCTGTAGAGCTAATCATAAATTAGACTCCGGTTTAATTCAGCATGAGGTTAGGATACGTGGAGGGAACCATAATAATAATAATAATCCTTGCATTTGATATAGCGCTTTTCATGTCAGGAGGACGTCCCAAAGCGCTTCACAGAACACACTGTAAAGTGAATTGACTGTATATTTGTGGGCGAACGCGGCAGCCAATTGCGCACAGCAATGTCCCACAAACAGTCGTAGATTGAAAATGACCAATTTATTATTGTTTTTGGTTTTGGAGGGATTATTATTAGGCGTGTGGAGTAAGGAAACTTGCCCAAGGTTTCGCCCTCTGCCTGGAATTGAACTCGGGTCTCTCACTTGCAAAGCGAGTGCTCTAACCACTGAGCTACAGGACTCCAGAACCATAAACCCGTTCCCCAATACCCCTTACCCAGTGACTCAATCTCTGATCTAAAAAGACAGAGAATTAGAAAGGAGAGTTATCTGAGAATTAGAAAGGAGAGATATAATTACAAAATGTGAACCTTCAACAAATTCATCTCTTTTGCCAGTGCATAAAGCAGATGGGTCATGGCAACTAGTTGTAGACTTCCGTCAGTTAAATACTGTTACCGAAACAGCAGTGGGTCATAGCATCCATTTGAGTGGAGATTTAGACAACCTTCCTAAGGGAAGATACAAAATTACTTTGGATCTAGCTAACAGGTTCTGGAGTGTTCCCTTAGCTAAAGACGATAGGTGGAAAACGGCATTTACATTCCATGGACAGTAGTTCTATTGGAA